AATCTTGGATACTGTAACTATCATGTGAGTTTCGGTTGGTGAGGTAATGCAGTAACATATTGTATTCTTGGTTATTTCCTGGTTACTTTCTGTTACTGATGTATCCCTTGGTTACTCCTTGGTTACTCCAGATCTGATTCCTATATAAGCTCTGTTTGAGTCACAATAAACATGCATTGGCTCATAAACCTCTGCATCCCCTGTCTTGATTTCTACCCACTGGGGTCCCCAAGCCCACCAGGCTTGACTTGTGACACATATGCTTTAACACATTAAAGATAATTTGATGACATCATAAAAAAAATCATTCAGCATACAGGACACCTATTTACAACTTTTCTTACATCTTGATAGCTTAAGACACAGTCTGTTATGGAATCAGGCAGGGAAATATGAGTAATGGGGGCTGAAGATGAAGCTCAGTGACAGAGTGCTGACTAGTATGCAGGAGACTCTAGGTTAAATCCCGAGAACCAAAACTAACAATAACAAGCAAACAAGAAAAACAACCACCAACAAAAATGCAATCCTGAACAATGAGTTAAATGAAAACTTACAGCACGTAGAAGCAGAGGACAAAAATCAAGCACAGTAGACAATATATACCTGAAGAAAGAAAATACATCAGGTCTTGGGAGATGGCTAGGTAGGTGAAGGACTTGCCACAGAAGCATGGGGAGCTAGGATTCCACTCCATGGAAATGCTAAGAGGGTGTGGGAGTCCTCCTGCAATCCCAGCACTCTGGAGGCAGAGACAGAGGATCCTGGAAGCCAGATGGCTAGTGAGACTTAGGGTTCAACTGGAACATCTTGCCTCAATATGTAAGGTGGATAGGTATTGAGGAAGACACCTGACATCAACCTCAGGGATCCAAATGCACATGCATGCGTATCCCACATGCACACATGTGTATACATATCTGTGAGTGCACACTCATGTAAGTAAACATATGATCTCATTCCACTACAAAAACCCAGAGTGAGAGTGAGAGTAAGGCGGGGGGGGGGGGGAAGAATACATGCTGTGGCACAAATTCAATTATCTAACTTCATTTCTTCAGGAAGTTAGAAAATGAATGAACAAAACACAATGAACCAGTCCCTGACCTAATGGAAGAGCCAGACCATAAAAAGAGGCAGGTGACTTAAACGGTATCTAAGAAAGCAATTCTGAGGTTGGAGAGATGGCTCCGTGGTTAAGAGCAGTGGCTGCTCTTGCAGAGGACCTGGGTTCAGTTCCCAGTACCCACATGGCAGCTAACAACCATCCATAACTCCATAACTCCAGTTCCAGGTAATTCAATGCCCTCTTCTAGCCGACTTAGGCACTGCACACACAGATACACACAACAGACATGTAGGCAAAACACTCATACACGTAAAGTAGAAATAATTTTTTTAATGTAACTATCTTTGAAAAGGCATTTTAAGGACTAGATTTATTAAATGAAAATCTAAGAATAAGATAAGCAATATTGTAAAAAAATAAAAACAATTTGATATATTTGAACATCTAAGTGATTGGAGTGTTCTGGTCCTAGGTAACAAAAAAATAAGGGTGGATAAGAATTTAGGTGTGAGCACCAGGGATGTAGATCAGTCAGCAGAATGCCTGCCTGGCTTCTACCAGCAGTACCTATGAACTGGGGTTGATGATGTTAAGCCTAGAATCCTATCCCTGGGGAGTTGGAGGCAGAAGTTTAAGACCATCCTCCGGTCCATTCAGAACATGAGGCCAGCATGGGAGAAAAACCTTGTCTCAACAATGGAAAACAGAATTTAGGGGTTCCTTTGTATGTTTGGCCTTTGAATTCTAAAAACAGATCAGTCATATGTCTTTAAATCCTGAATGTGATACATGAATAATGTGTGTTCTTCACTGCCTGAAAACAAAACCTTCCCAATGCTAGAAAAAGAAGTGTTCCAAACCTGAATTCTGAAAAAGCCTTGTGCTGGACAGATTCATTTGTCAACTTAACATACCTGTGTGGAAGAATTTCCTCCATTGGAATGGCAAGTGGTCATGTCTGTGGGGCATCTTCTTGATTACTTGAGTGACATGGGAAGGCCCAGGGATGCCTAGCCCACTGTGGGTGCTACCATCACATTGGTTTTGGTCAGTGTTTTATCAAAAAATAGAAAGAAATAAGAACAAGCCTCTAGTCTGAAGACAGATGAGTAATTTAAGAATATGTTCTTAAGAAAATTATTTAAGAAAACACTAAGATTTCATCAATAGTAAATGACATGTTTTCATAGCACATACATGTTAATTCATATTTTCACCTACTTTATAGTTTAGTTTTAAATCAGTCTATTTTATAGTCTGAAAGCAACTTGCTACCAACTGCAAGGTATCACTCACTTTAAAACTCTGAAAGTACAAAATGAGCATCTTATACTCAGGAAAATAATGTTTAGTGCATGTACGTCTGACCTACTTAGAGTGTGTAAGCTTTGTGAAAAACTCTTTTCATCAAGTTCACACACTTTTATCTTACTTTTGTCTATGTACAGGTTCACAACTGTGTTAACTATTTGAAATTAATCTATAACCATTTTAGAAAATACTAATTTCTTAGGCTAATTCATATTTTGTAAAGTACATTAACCCTTTTATAGGTTACTTTCCCCTAAAAATCAAATTAAATCTACCACTGCTCAGAATTTAAAATCTCTCATAGTCATTGTCAAATAAAATCAAAGTCTTTGATTTCCCAATAGACACTAAAAATACAGGCAGGGTGCTGGAGAGGTGGCTCAAAGGTGAGAAACAGTTACTGCATTTGGAGAGGACCCAGGTTCAGTTCCAATACCCACAACGGGCTCAGAACTACCCGAATCTCCAGGTCTACGGAGGTAAAGTAAAGGTCTTCATAAAGTAAAAACCTTTTCTTCCAATTTTCTTGTGCATGCACAGCTTATGCAGACTGTTAGATGTTAATAATTATCAGGCAAACATATAACTAGAGTGTAATACCATCAGATAAAAAAGTGAAGGTTCTGTTTTCCCTTTGGTTGGTGTGATTTTTTTAAGTCAAACTACAAAGCAGATCAAAATATGAAGCAAATGTATAAATGTGAGTTGTGATGGCTAATCCTTGGTGTCAACTTGACTGGATCTGAGATTAACTGAAATGAAAGAGATCTTCTTGATTGGATCATCTAAAGCCAGAAGACACACCCTAAATGTGGGCGTTACCCTCTGATGGCAGCCGGTATAAAAGACCAAGGCAGAGGAGATCGCGGGGCTTTTTGCAGCTTGCCTTCTCTCTTCTGCTGGTGAGTTCATCTTGCTGCTGTAGACTGAACACTAGCTGATATTTTGGAATCTGTCAGACCTTCAGCACCGGATTGGGACTACTAAGACATCCAGCCTTGTGGACTGAGCGACTACGGATTCTCAGCCTCTCCAGTGTGGTGCAGCCATTGTTGGACTACTCAGACTCTATCCTGTGAGCTAAGCTGATAAATCTCTATACATATTCATTCTATTGGTTCTGTTTCTTTGGAGAACCCTGACTAATACATGAGTGCAGATGTGCATGTATCTGTATGTATTGTAAATTAAATATCATCTTACCAAAGACATCGATTCTGTGGAAAGACCTCTTACAGATTTACCAAAAAACCTGAAAAAAAAGGAAATTTATTTATTTATATGCATGTTACCTCCAATGTTATCACATTCTTTCAAATAAACTACATATTTAATATATTTAAATTCATTACAATGGCCTATATAAATTACACGTTAAAAGTGACACGTTATGAGTAAGTTTGGTGCAATGAAATTTTTAAAAACTTAAAATATTGGGCCCCAGAGGTGAAGCGTACCCACTGCTCTTGCAGAGGACTCCAAGTTCAGGTTCCAAGACCCCTGCCCTACAGCTCATGGTGGCCTGTAACACCAGCTCTAAGGAATCTCATTCCCTCTTCTGGCCTCTGCTGAAACCTATACTCAATGTACAAACCCACACTCAGATACACAAATACAGCTAATTAAAAAATAAAAATCGTAAGAGGCTGGAGAGATGGCTCAGCAGTTAAGAGTACATGCCTCTCTTAGAGAGGACCCAGCTTTGGATCCCAGTATCCACATGGTGGCTAACAACCATCCATACCTCCAGTTTTAGGATATCTGATGCCCTATTCTGACCTTTGCAGGCTTTATATGACACAGGTGTACTTACAAACATACAGACAATACTCATATACATAAAATAAAAATAATTTAAATAACACATTTAAAAAATAAAAAAAATTTAAAAGATGTGAGTTTATAATTTCATTTGGAAATGTACTAAAAAAATCAAACCCCACAGTCCCTAAGTTTGAAGTGCACCAATGTTCAGCTCTCAGTAGAGCACAAATGCGAATAAGCTTCCTTAAGTTCAAAAGAAATGGAAAACTAGAACTGATATTCACTTCTTCTCCCCACATAGAAGCAACCCCAAAGTTTTTCCCAGTAGTAATCATTATAACTACAAATCTCTCCATCTTCAATCAAATTCATTACTTTTAATATCAAACGGCCATTCCTAGCACTTAGAATGCCATTTTGCCTACTAATAAATCAAGCTGACCAGCAGGCACAAAGCTTGGCTCCACTGCACCTATAACCCTGACCGAGGAGGAAAGGAAGTGAAGAGAATGGTCCTGAGAACAAAGAATAAAATGAAAGAAAATCATTTTTACTACAGGGCCCAATAGATTAATTTAAAATGAATTTAAATACATGTCAAAAGTGCCTGTAAGTAAACAGTAGTGCAAACAACAGGATGAGGTCTTAAGTGTCTATGTAGTTTTATAAGATTCATTAATAAATACTCTGAAAAGGACATCAGTCAAAAAAGGACTGCACATACAATAGGGGGTCTCATGGCTTATCACCTAGGAGCATGGTTCCATCGCAGTTTGTTACGCATACTCTATGATGCATGTCTGTCACTGAGAGACACATAGCTGCATGCTTAAAGGACCCTCCTTTTCTATGTGGAATCATTTTAAAATCATGAATCTAGTTTCAAAGCATTCTTTAAAATTTAAAACATTTAACTGCTATGACTCAGAAGATGTTGCTCTAAAGTATACTGCTTTGGACCCCAAACGGAGAGCAAACATGGAGGAGAGATATTCCTAAAATCCTCTAATTACTTAGAAACCAAAAGGGCCAAAGAGGGGAGCAACCTCCTCACATCTCCAAGGAATAATTTCATTAATCAAGATTAGGTTTGTATCACAGAGGCAGAGGAAGAGACTGACAACCAAACATTCCCCAGAGCTACAAGTGAACTTTACATCAGGCAATTTGTCTATTCCCTAGAAACAGTATTACAGTTATGGACAATTTTAGTAAGTAAATTATTTTGAAAGGGGAGAAGAGGGTATTTAAACCTCAAACTTGTGGCCTTATTTGAATTAAGCATTTTTATGGATCCTATACACATGTGCACTGCAATACGTCTGTACAGTTTATTTCTTTTTAATTTGTCTATTGTTTGTTTCAGCACATTCAATTCAATGGTTTTATTTCAACTTCCCCATGCAACTAAAACAATTCAGTTAGATTAAATGGTTTACCTATAATTTACAAACATATTATGCTAGCAAATTACTTTAACTAATTAAAACCATAATATGATTATAGAATAAAAGCTGCACTTACATAAACAGTTGGTTTAAACTCTTCAAATGCTTTCAAAACTATGCACTGTTTATCATCTCTACTTGTTGATGACAGAACAGAAAACTGTAGCCGACCTACACAGGAAAAAAATATTTTCAATCAGTACGTATTTATAAATCCAAATGACATATGAATGCAAATTTATAAATATATTTATAAACTGTAATTACTTATATAAAAGGAAGCCTTGGTTATCCTGAACTTGTTTAATGGTTGCTGAATTGATGACTTAAAGCACTACCTTCTTTAAAAGCCTTCAACATCTAGTCACAGTGTAGCCACATCATTTACAAAACATTGATTTAGTGAATGAAACTTCAATAATCAATATTTGTCTCAGTTTATGCAAATGAGCTACATGATTATAATGAGATGGCAAATGACCTCACAATATTAAAAACTGAATTTAAATAGAGTTGGGAGACTACATGGAGAAAGGTATATCATTGGTGCAAAATCTCCACCTTATTACAAAACAAATACGTATCCAGTACATCAGACAGAAGTACTGATTCAGGACATGAAATTCTGTATCCCTTATTCTCTTTTCATTTGCAATTTTTCTTATGTTCTACTAACTGCAACATAAACACAGTTTCATCTTACCAAATTGTATTTCGTTATTTTATTATTCTTTTTTTTTTTTTTTTTTTTTTTTTTTTTTTTTTTTTTTTTTTTTACCAGCTGTCCTGGAACTCACTATGTAGACCAGGCTGGCTCCCTACTGCTGGGATTAAAGGCATGTACCACCACGCCTGGCCTATTATTCTAATTTTAACAATAAAATCTTAGGGTAGCAGGGTGTGGTGGCACACACCTTTAATTCCAGCTCTCAGAAGGCAGAGGCAGGCAGATCTCTGTGAGATGGGGGTGAACCTGGTTTACATGGCAAGTTTCAGGCCAGCTGTGGTTACAGGGGAACTTGGTCTCAAAAAAACCAAAAAAAAAAAAAAATCCTTCTCAGTGAAATGTTTATTTCTGTAATGCTCTAAACACTTTTAAAAAGGAATAAAATAAACATATACCCCATTAAGTAATTTTTACACAAAATATACTTTGTTTTCAACTGACCTCCAACTAATAAGTTGCAATTTAAATGAAAACAGGATTTACACAACTGCCTAATCAAACAGGCTTCTCAGTTCTAAATTCTCCTAAAGCATGCATACATGTGTGCACACATACATACAAATGCACAAAACCCACCTACCTTGTTACCATTTCACATAAGAACATAAATAAATCAAAAGAAAAAAATGTGATAGATAAAAAATTTTGTTTTTTCTGTATAATCTAAAGTTTTATGAGTATGTATGTTCTGATGAAGAAAACTTTTAAGAACAAATGCTAAATGATAGACATTGAACATTCATAAAAAATTATCATTTAAAGAGCTACAAACAGTTCAGCTCAATAGTTCTTTTCCTACAACACCTGATTAGTGTGGAACTACACCAAGATTTTTAAAAGAGAAATGAGTTCAATATAAACATTTATAGACACAGGACACATTGTGCTGACAGCCCTTAGTGATTTTCCCGCAGCTGACCTTTTCTCTCTATTTTTACATACTTTCAATGATAGACAACTAAGACTCTTATACATTTAGTGCTGTTCCACATACAGTCTTTAAACAAAGAGACCATACTAATATTTTTTCCATTTACAAATATCTGAATTTATCTGTATTTCAGAGTTATAAATGCCTCTTCCTAGTAGAACCTACCTTACAATGTCCCTCTCCCAGTAGCAAACAAAAATCTCTTTCTCCTGATCTATCCTATACATTATTTCTACTTACTCTGCATTATTTACAAACTTTTAAAAGCACCTCTAAATTGGCAATTAGAAATGACTAATAGACATGCCACAGGACAATCTGATGGTGGTAATTTCTTGACTGAATGGGACTCTTTGGGAGTGTAGCTTCCTGTACTTCTGTACCTGCCCATAGGGTTTACCGGCAGAGTAGCTGCTGTGAATCGCCCATGCATCCGCATGTAACAATTCACGCAGTGGTTTGCCAGGCTGGCTTTCCTTAGAAGTCTTGCTTTGGTCTATTGTTTTCTCTAGTTGGGGTGAATGGGTATTCCTTTACATTTCTCCAGGATATATATTGCAACAGTACACCCCTCATCCTAACAAGGATACAATTACTTAATTCACCTGGACAAATGCCACAATCCATTCAATTGTACTAGGTATTGTACTGACATTTAGAATCTTACGAAGAGAAAAGAATTTTAAGAATTTAAAGAAATTCAAGATGATGTTTTACACATGTCTAGGAGAAGTCAGGAATTGAATACTCTGACCTGCAAAAACCAGAACACTCCAAATATTGTCAAATACTTTGCACAGTTCACAGATTTATGTGCTCACTGATTAGAACAACAAAACAGTGCTTTATGATTAAAGATGATGACTTGTTATGTAAGAGGTTTACCAGAACGTTTCCCTAGATAATTTAGGATATGGAATTTAACATACCGTTTCAAAAAAAAAAAAACTCTGAATGGATATTTCCTTACAAAAGTTGCAAGGTTTAATTTTCTAGGCACTGCGTCTTATAGTGTCAATTGAACACAAGACAAACATCTGCTATACTGGATTAACAAAATTTATAAATAACACATAGTACCAAAGGACAGCTGTTTTTTTACTCAAATATTTACTTAACTTAGAAAAAAGAAAGAAAAATTGATGTTCATTTTTAAAAATTCAAATTCAGAACACAGGAAGCAGATGTCTTTCGGGAATTTTTGTTAACTCAAAAAACTGAAAAACAAGTTCCTGACCCACCACAAAATACAAATGGGCCAGGACAATACTCAATCCACTGCCAGTGCCACCAATCCTTGCTTTAGTTTCCATCATGTGGGATAGTTCTGAAATGACTATAAAGCTTCCACAGTGATTCCCCTAGTTTAGCTCCCATGCTAAGAGAAGAAAACAAACAAACAAATTACACAAGGGGAAAAGGGCTGCGGACTTGCTATCTGATCATATAAAATAAATACTGTTTAATTATTTAAAATGTAGTAACGGAATTGTGCCTGTGTATACTCAAATCAGAAGAGCTATACAGATACATTTATATAAACATAAATGCATTGGTATTTTGCATTAAAAATTGATGTGAAGGGCTTAGAAGATGGCTGGAGGGTTAAGAGTGCTTGCTGCTCTTGCGTGAGTATTCGTACCAGGCAGCTCAGTATCATCTGGAACTCTTGTTCCAAGGGATCAATAAACTCCTCTGGCCTCAGTGTGCACCTGCATATATATAGTACACATAAACACATGCAGGCACACACGAATAAAAAAATGAATCTTAAAAAACTGGGGGAGAAGACCCTCCCTCAGAGTAGGTGGCATATTATAGCCTAGACCCAGATGGAAAGAGATCCAAGAGGCCCAAACAAAAGCAGTGCAGCCTGTCTACCTGCCTTCAATTCTTGCTAGTGAACGTGTCAATCCTATTGCTGCTGCTGCTATCCTCTGCTGACATCCTATCCCCACTTCTTCAGCCTTCCAGCAGCTCTCCAGAAATCCTTCAGGCCTTCGGCACCACATTGGGCCTGCTGAGGTATTAGCCTCATGGCCTGGACAGCTACAGGGTTCTTAGCCTCTCCAGCACTCAGATGGCCACTAATAGCCTATCCTCTAATAACATATTCTTCCAATCTGTTCTTTTCTGATGGAAAACCCTACTATACTGTTTAAGTTAGGTGATGAAAATACGGACATTCATTAATAACTTTCACTAGTTTTGTATGTTTAAAATTTTTCATAATAGGGGCCAGTGAGGCGGGTTAAGGTACTTGCTTTCAAGTATGACAACTTGAATATGATCCTGGGACCTATACAGTAGGAGAGAACCAACTTCTGCAGAATGTCCTCTGACCTCTAGATGCATTCTGCGATTCGATCACATTTCTTAAACCCCTGATCAATTAATAAATGAAAACTTGGAAAATTTCATAATTAAAAAATTTTAAAACTAGTAAGATACCTACAATGTTGATGCTTTAAAAAAATGCTCCAGGGAGAGCTATACGTTACTGAGGATGTTACTTTGCCTCAAATAATTATCATTACCACCTCTAAATGATTCCCATTAGTCTGGAGATTGTGAGTTTTATAAGTCCGAACACAGGTTGATTCATTTCAGTTTTCCTAGATTCAACAGTGTCTTTTAAAAAGCCAACCCTTGACTCCTACCCATAGGCCTCTCTCAGGGGTAAGTCCATTGTGCCCTCCAAGCCTTGACTCCCCCAGCCCCATTCACCCTCCCATCTCCAACGCCATTCTCTCCTCCGAATTTGAGCCTGGCCCCATTCCTTGTCTTGGAGCCCCAGACACCTGGGGAACCAATACTGCTCCCTGACTAACAGAGTGCCTTCTCTGGGCCCCAGGAGCTCTGCTTCTGGGCCTGGCCCTGCCCTCACCTCCCTCTGCTTCCCTGGGCCTGCAGGACAAGCCATAGGCCTCTCTCGTACATGCAGGCCTCTCTGTGGGGTAAGTCCATTGCGCCCTCCGCACCTTGACTCCCCCAGCTCCATTCACCCTCCCATCTCAGCTGCCATTCTCTCCTCGGAGTTTGGGCCCTACCCCATTCCTTGTCTTGGGGCCCCAGACACCTGGGGAACCAATACTGCTAGCTGATTCTTTTCATCCAGACCAACTGAATGCCTTCTCTAGGCCCCAGCAGCACTGCTTCTGGGCCTGGCCATGCCCTCAACTCCCTCTGCTTCCGTGGGCCTGAATCACCCACCAGCCTCTTTCTATGGCGCTGGGGCTGACCTTTCCTCTTCTTGATCCTTTGCATCCAGACCAACCCAGCTCCTTAGTGCAGTCCCCAGGAGGCCTTGGGGCCTCTTCCAGCTCCATCTGCCTTTGCATCTCTTGGTGGCATGGCCACCAGCTGCCCTAGACCAGCATCTTTCCTGAGCCAGGCTCCCAGGCCAGTCCAACCCCCAAATTCCCCAGGCCAAAATCGTTCCTGGAGGGATCCAGACCTTAGGAGGAAGCCTGAAAACATCTAAGCCTCACCTGAATTGGGCCTCTGTGGGAA